GATGTTCAACTGTAAGCCACTCATCATCCTACGCGTTGCCAGGTCGACTGGACCTATTTTCTTCATCTGTCCGCGATGAATGCTACAACCACGAATCGGTGCATCAAGCCCAGGCTGGATAGCCTAGATTTAACAAGCCTGAAGCCATTTGTGATGCCTGGTTTGGTTGAACTCAACGCAATTCCTAATAATGGCGTCGGATGAATTGATCACATTTTGATCTTCACCACCGTAAATAAGCTTTAGCTACCTGAGGCAATATGACCCGAGAAGGTCAAAGCAGCAGCCAAAGGCTGAATAGAAAACACCTAAATATCAAGTGACGCCTGCAAATAAATATACTCTTTCATTCAAGACAGAGTATACAATAGCATGACTTGATGTCCCGTCAGCAGTGAGACGAGTTCAAGTGAACTAACCTTACCGATTCAGGGTCAAACGGATTAACAACTGGCCTGCGAGCAGTGATAACTGCATGTGGCATTCGTGTTAACAGGCCCTTTGATGGTGTAAACACAAACAGAGAAGACGGAAACTCAACGGAGACACCCGGCAAGCGTAGTCATGATGTAAGTCAGATGGGCCGTTGGGTTGTGACACAACATGTAACTAAAACAAAGACAAGCCTTGGGTGAGAATTGACAATGTGTTTGTCTTTTTGCCCGGTCAGACTGTGCAAACATTTTGGCTGATTGCGAGCTCCGAGTAAGCAAGAGTTCAAAAGGTTAACAATATTCATATTGGCTCAGAACATCAAACCAATTCAACATGCCAGAGCTGAGCATGATCTTTCAGTTCAGGAAGGAGCAGTTTTACCGGCTGATGAGCGAAACTTCAATATGTGTGTTTCTTTGTGTTCACGTAGATGCAACCATGCGTGCGTGCGTATGCGTGTGCGTGTGCATGTGCATATAACGAGGTTGGAGATAGAAGAGATGGAATTTTCCGAAAAACAATTCCCTTGGAGCCGTGAATGTGCATTTGTGCGCTGTCCAAGAACTGTTGACATCGCAAATGTAAAGCTGTTTTAAGATTTAGTCTGAGATGCTTTTGCGCTTGGTGACCTTTCGTCAAGCATTGCTCTTGCCTCTGACGATATCATTCAAGGCAAAACAATCGTAAGCTCGGTTTGTATTTATCGAAGTAAGAGGACGATGCACCGAGGACTTGTTCCAACAAAGCTGCTGTCAAAATCCCAAGCATTCTTCCTTCGGTCATAAATCCTTTCCAGTCGCTTTTGCAAAGAGAAAGCTATGAAAAAGCGTTAATTTATCAGGTCTTTCAAGGCAAACCAGTCACGATTGGCATTCAACTCTCGCTCCGCTCCAGTCAACAAAATTGAGACCAGCACTCGGTCTACGCACCTCTCCAACAGAGACCGGTTTGCAGACCGGCCGGTTCGCCCAGAACGAGGCATCCAAAGGCATGATCGAATTTCAACTCCAACTCCTAAATGACGGCGTGAGAGGAGGGATTCGGGGCCTCAGGTTTCCAGTGAATCTCGCCTGTAGCCTAACGTTTCTTCAAATAAGACCAAGTGATACGGTTTCTCGAAGAATGTAAGCATCAGGACAATTCGTCTTGAGACGATGCAAACAGACTTGCAGACTACTTCAACCTGATTATGCGCACATTGATAGACTGTACAAGAAAGAGAAAAAACAGTTTCATGTTGAGGGAAATGTGTGTGTGTG